AATGACTTATATTCTGCTAAATCTGATATATCTGTGTTATGAAAACATAATAGGTGACCATATTATCTCGACTAGCAGGATGCAGGAGAAGAAGAAGTACGCTAGACCAGATATTCATCCTAAAACAAGTACTCAAAAAACAATGGGAAGTAGATCAAGATGTACATGCTTTATTTGCCGACTTCAAATCAGGCTATGACTTGGTGGACAGAAACTGTTTGGAAGATCATGATTGAGCTGGGTGTTCCTAGAAAGTTTGTGAGGTTCATGATGACATGTACAAATGATCCTAAATACAGGGTATTAATACAAGAAGAAAAATCTGAAGTCTTTGAAATTCAAACAGGTTTAAGGCAGAGATATGGTTTCTCGCCAATGCTGTTCATCTTAGCCCTTGAGAAAGTAACAAGAACAACATCAAGGGAATTTGCAGAGGAGCATGTCTGAATGAAACATAAAATTCTAGCATATGCATATCTGTCCTCGGAAGCAATAAAGAGGATATTAAGAGATTCACTTGGACTATGTTAAGAAAATCAGAGCAAATCGGACTACAAGCCAATAAAAAAAAACAAAATATATGATAGCCGACATATCTACTCTAATAGCATGATCTGCATTGACTCTAAGTTAATCCCAAAATTAGTCAGTTTCAAATACCTCAACTCCATAACAACCTCAATAAATGGTCAACTAACAGAGATAGACCAGTGAATAAAAAGTGAGCACAAAGCTTTCTCCTCTCTTTCAAGACTCCTGAAATCCAGAAAAATCTCCATAAATCTAAAACTAACAGTGTACAACGTAGTGATAAAGCCAATTCTGCTGTACGACTGTGGAAACTGGGCTTTAATCGACACACTAGAAGCCAGAATTGAGAAATTCGAAATAAAAGTTCTCTGTTTGACAACAGGACCTATCTGGGAACGAAGGAAGAGAAGGAACAATAATGAACTGCTAACAGAAAATGGTCATTCAATATCTCATGGTATGAAGGAAATGAGGTTGAGATGGGCGGGGCATGTAGCTCTAAGCAGTCCATCAGAACTCCTGTAAACACCAATGAATGCTAGAGCAGTAAGAAATAGACCATATGGGAGGCCAAAAACCAGATGGATAGATAGGATCAACAAAAAAATGGTTGAACTTCATGCCCCAAACTGGAAAGCAGTAGCCCAAGATAGGCAGAGGTGGAAAAGGCCGGTTTAATAGGCCAAACAACTAAAAGATCTGTAGAGCAAAAGAAAAAAAAAAAAAAAGAATAAATCCTATCTTTGCATTTAATTAAAAGAAAAAAAGGGATAAATAGTCAGGACACACTTTTAAGGTTTTTGTTGGTGCCGATGTTTCAATCCTAGCATGTGAGTCATCATCAAGGCCTGTTTCGAGTGATGAAGGTGTTCAAGTAGTTAAACATCAGTTGAATAACTTCCTTCAGTAAAAGAAAAAAGTGTGAGATAAGTTGTATGTCTCTGGATAATAATTAATTTGATTAACATACCTAATTTTATAATTTATTTATAAATAATTTAATTTATACTTACTTTTAGGATATTTTTTTTTACATTATTATTTCTTTATCTATATAAATTTTTCTTTAAACGGGTCTAAAATATTTCACTGAAGTTTCTTTAAAAGTTTCCTCTGTACCCTTTCACCCTCGATTCTAACTACATCTTCTCTCCATCAGAGCTTTCCCGTTACTCGTTAGAGCCTGTTGTTAAGAACTCCTGGTTTCTATTTTTTGTTGATTCACCTGTCTTCACATGCTTTCTTTATTTTTGATGCATAGAATTATTTCCTGTGCCACCTGCATCAGTAACAAGAATGCTTCTTTCAATGCTAAGAACATAAAACCAATTTTTAAAAAATCCACAAATCATCTGAAAAGTCAAACTATTGTAATAATTGTCAATTGTGTTACTGATAAAAATCTTTGACTTTTGAACTGTCTCTTTTAAGAGTATTTCCTAGTCTTAGACATCTCAAAATCACAAACTCAGGGGAAAGAATTTATTTGCAATTAGACAACTCTACTGTGTTTTAGGATTTTTTTTTTTACATTATTATTTCTTTATCTATATAAATTTTTCTTTAAACGGGTCTAAAATATTTCACTGAAGTTTCTTTAAAAGTTTCCTCTGTACCCTTTCACCCTCGATTCTAACTACATCTTCTCTCCATCAGAGCTTTCTCGTTACTCGTTAGAGCCTGTTGCTAAGAACTCCTGGTTTCTATTTTTTGTTGATTCACCTGTCTTCACATGCTTTCCTTATTTTTGATGCATAGAATTATTTCCTGTGCCACCTGCATCAGTAACAAGAATGCTTCTTTCAATGCTAAGAACATAAAACCAATTTTTAAAAAATCCACAAATCATCTGAAAAGTCAAACTATTGTAATAAGTGTCAATTGTGTTACTGATAAAAATCTTTGACTTTTGAACTGTTTCTTTTAAGAGTATTTCCTAGTCTTAGACATCTCAAAATCACAAACTCAGGGGAAAGAATTTATTTGCAATTAGACAACTCTACTGTGTTTTCCCATGGTCATTGTAACCTGACAGATCAACCAAGATGGTAATCTTGACTTTCTTATAGTAAAGGCTCTTGTAACCAGAGATGGGCAAACGATACTCTGAGTATTTTACTCAAATTGAATTACTATTGAGAATTCAATTGCTACTTCAGGTAATCGTATGACATCAACTGAAGTAGTAATTAAATTCTTTGGTACTCAAAAAAGGTCAGATATTTGAGTAAAATACTACGACCCATCACCAAGTCTGAGTCTTCTCTAAAAACCTTCACCAGTTGACTTGGCCTTTTGTATCAGTTCCCCAGTTTTGGGTATCAAGAAGAACCTTTGCGTCGTCAGCGACTGAATTCACCCATCTTACATTATGCCATCCTACTCTGCTGTGAAGCTCATCTGTCAAAATTTTTTGTGTCATATAATCCTCCTCCATCCTCACCACGTGGCCTGCCCAGCAAAGTCTCCAAAGCTTAATAAACTTGACAAAATCAATGACATTATACACTGCAGAAAGTTTTGTATTTATAATATTCGTATAGTATATTGCTCTCCATCATTCGCAATCATGACATATAATCACACTGCTTATAATAAAACATAGTGTATAATGAAAAGTCGTAGTGTGAAGTAGCTACCAAACTACATCTAGGTTATATCTTAAGAAATAATTGACAGTTAAACAGTGCCCAAGCTCTTTCCATGGTGTACTCTACCAACCAGATAATGAAAAGAATTTATTTAATTGCCTTAGGTTTCTCTGGTGGATTTTTTAAATTTTAAATATGACACAATTGGACATGGGTGATACTTTTACAGTTTTTTTTTTTATAATTAGTTATCTTAGTCATTTTAAAAGCAAGAAGAGATAAGTTTGGAATATTATATGTAATATTAAATGGTAACATGGTAATAATGTAAATCTTTTAGTTAATGAAAATTAAACAAAATACCTAAATTGTTGTGAGTAGCAAATAGAAGATCCTGCTGGAACATTGAAATCAAGAATTTTTATTTTAAGAGTTAAACCATGTTTATATTTTTTTGTTTCATCACAAATAATGAGAATAAATAACATGTTAAGTTAGAAAACAATTAACAAGAAGATAACAGCTGGTGTTCGAGCCTATTACCAATCTTGAAACTTCCGAAGTCTCAATTGATTTCGAAAGCAACAAAATCAAAATCATACAAGTATTTTTTAAGACCAATTGTTATGGAGAGGAAACTTAGTATTTGACCCAAGAGGTTGGTCATAAACTGGGATTATTCAAATGAAAATTGTAAGAAGAATTTATAGAGTAACAATAACAAAATTAAGAGTAATGCTAAGACTGAGATAATATAAATAAATATTAATATGAATATTATAAATTTTTCAAAGCAACTAAGCTAAGATGGCAGGGTATGTAGTCACAATAAAGGCTGAATGGTAAAGAGGAAAGTGTTGGAAGCACAATTAAAAAGACAAATAAATGTGAGGAAGCTAGGATTCCTCTGTTGGTAGAGACTGACACAGAATAGGAAGAAAAAGGATCATTCGGAAGACCAGGGATCATGTTGCCCCTTAGCACCACGAATGAAATAGTGATGTTATACAATGAAAACCATCATTTTACTTTTTAAATAACTTATTTTTGTAGACATGTATATCCAATTTATTAATGTCAGATTTTTTTACTCTATTTAAAAATTATACATGTCATACTAGCTGTCCTGACTTTTGAAAATAAAAATTTAAGACTGCTGTTTCATTCATTTCTTTACAAACTCAAAACTCAAGGTTATTGAAAATAAAGTAGATAGCTAGAAACTGATACAGCACTGTAATTATTAATGTTGATTTTGATTCCTTTGAAATCTTTATTTTATTCATATAAATCTTAATTTTGATTATAAGGACATAGATTGCATGGATCCTATTTCAGAAGAATGTCAGAAGAATTTATAAAATTAAACAAACCAATAAATTGAAGTAAGCAGTTTTTGGATTTTACAATTGAACATTTTAAAGATTAACTTAAAGGTATCCAATTTGAAGCAATCCAAAAAACTCAACAAAATAAAAATATTAAATTAAGTTTTAATTAATTGTGTAAAAATAACATCCCTCATCTTTAGTTATAAAATTATAATCTAATTAAATCAGCAAGAAGATAGGCATTTTAAGGAAAACAAAAGCAATGAAAAGAGTAAAAAAGTTTATTAACTATAACAAAAACAAGGAATATTTACAAATATATAATAATTGTCTTGTCATCCTCATAATATTCCACAAATGTATGCAAGTGTGCTTTCATGGAAGATTTTTTTTTTTTTTTTATATCACATCCTTAGTAGAGGGATATGAATATAAATTTGGCGATTAACCTGAAAACAAAATCTTTGGATATCTAAACAGGCACTTCTTATCCATGTATAAAATTCAAAAGAGTGACAATTCGATGAAGTTGAGCTCTACATTGTTGTTAATGACCCAGAGCAGCGTGAGCTGCAGCTTTGTGTGCTAGAAAGGAACTGCCTAGTCCATGAGATGTTCCATATAACCCAGAATTAAAACCTCCTCCGTACAGTCCAGAACTGAAGCCGCTACCATGAAGCCCGCTGCTGTACAGGCCACCACCGTATAGACTGGAACCTCCAGAAATGATTCCAGATCCATAGCCGGAGCCAAGACCGATACCGGAACCAAGGCCGATGCCAGAGCCTAGCCCAATGCCAGAGCCTAGTCCAATGCCAGAGCCTAGTCCAATGCCAGAACCAAGGCCGGTACCAACAGCTATTTTACATTTTTAAAAAATCAATTAATAATTTTCAATCAACTAAGTACATACAAGATGATTGTATTAACTGAATTAATTCTTACCGATTGGGGTAGAAACAGGTACTGGATGCGGTACTGGAACAGGGACGTTATTGACAACAGGAACAGGAACTGGCGATGGAACTGGAACTGGATAAGGTCTAGATACTGGAACTGAAACTGGGTGTGGAACTGGTACAGGTACTGGCCTATCAACTGTTACTGGGTAAGGCTTGTCTACAGGAACAGGATATGGGCGGCTGACTGGAACAGGTACTGGCCTATCAACTGGAACTGGAACTGGGTGGGATACTGGAACAGGAACAGGTCGGTCAACAGGCACACTGACTGGATGAGGCACTGGAACTGCAACTCTGTTGTGTACAGTAACTTGGCGGGAAACTAATCCACCACCATATCCCAGTCCAGAACCCAAGCCAATGCCCGAACCCAAACCAAGGCCTGAACTCAAACCAAGGCCTGAACCCAAACCTATTCCAAAACCCAGACCAACACCAGAACCCAGACCAATGCCAGAAGCTAGTCCGATTCCAGAACCAATTCCAGATAGTCCGATTCCTGATCCATATCCAACTCCAAGGCCAGATCCGTATCCATATCCACCACCATAGCTGTAGCCTCCGCCGTGTCCATAACTTCCACCATAGAGGCCTGATCCCAAACCTATTCCACCACTGAAAATTCCTCTTTTTTCTGTCTTTTTTTTCTGTTCTACTTCTGCCACAGAACAGGCAATTAAGCCACAAAAGAAGATTATGATCTATAAAAAAAAAATGTTATTGATAACTTCTTTTTTATATTAATCATACATTTTTACAGTATATTAAATTCTAAAGCATTGTTCTTAACTTACTGTAGTTAATGAATATTATCGATACTCTTACATTTTTCAACTAATGGCTCGTGATGAAATTAATTTTATTTTATCTAGATTATTGTTAAATAATTTAAATAATATTAATTTTTACTTTATTGTGTAATTTATGAATTTTTACATAAATATTGAAATTATATTTTGCTGATCAGGTATTGATTAACGAGGACAATTATCGAATGAAACATTTTATTGCTACAATTTATTACAAATTCGTAACACAAGTATTCATTGCAACTACATTTAAAATAACAATCACAATAAAGTTTGTTGTTTGGAATTAGTATCATTTCCGTTTTCTCAGCAGGATATTTATGAGGTAAAATAATTCATTGTCTTTTTTTTTTTCTTTCTACTTAAACGCTTTGTGGCATCAATGGAGTCTATTGTGTGCAAACAAATAAATAAAGCATTTATAGATCGCTAAAACATTAAACGCCTTCATTATAGTGTTACAGTACATTAGTTGAAGTAGGTTGTCCGAAACTATTAACTAAGCTCGAATGTTACAATTGAATAACTCGAATCATTGACATGGTGTCCCACTTACCAGTTGGTTCATCCTGAAAGCACTTGGAGGAGTTATCCCAATGTATGATGGACCAAGGGACCGAATTCAGTTTATATACGCCTGGGCCGGGTCTTGACATTTGCCTCCAAACAAGAAGTGGACCTCCCTTCCCACTCGCTGATCCTCCCCTTACGTAAAGAAAATCTATAAAATTATGTAAAGATTTACCGTTTTGGACTACGAAAGTTGTTAAAATTGTAATACATGATAGATTTTCACGTAATACTAGATAACTATTTCGAAAGATAAATTAATCTAATACATGTGCTATTTATTATATTGATTATTCAAAGCACAATGACAATTTAGACATGTCACGGCATTCATTCGAATGGGCTTTAGAGGTTTAGAAAAAAATATTTTACATATTTTCTAAAATGTTTTGTTATTTATTTTTGTCCGTATCTGTAACTCATCATATAACAATCGATTCATTTTTTTGTGCAAATTAAGAGAAAGATATTGTTAATATTTAATAAAACTGCTGTAAAGCCGAATCACTGATCTTCTGATAATTTTTTTTCATTTATAAGAAGTATAAAAAAACTGTACAGACCTTTTTGTGTTTTTGCTATTTTGTGTAGTTTATATGGCCTTAAAAACCCTGAAAATCGTGTTGGTGACTGGAATCATTTTCTATTTATTACAATTTTGGTGGTATATAAAAAAAACTGAAAGGGGCTAACAAAGTTAAAACATTTTTTTAACTTATTTTTTTATTATTGAAATTTACAACTGTATTAAATGATAAATACTACAAGTAAATATGAAATAAGTAACATGACATGTACAACATGAAGAAAAACTACCTATTGGTAGAACTCCAATTATATTTCTATAATAGAAGGTCACGAGGCAATCTTCTTTTCAGACGCCTCGGAGGGATATCAGGAATAGAAGAGGAAACAAGAGGGTTCAGAAGTTTATTATGGAAGGATAAGGTCTGGTATGGGGGTTCCAAGTGAGTCGTTTGTCCAGGTGGAGTCCTAGATATCGAATTTGTTCAACAGGGATAAGTGGGCTATTGTTGAAGGATATTGTAGGACAATAAGTCATAGGTTAAGTTAAACCAAAATTGTGAAAGAAGTTTTATTGTTTGATTCCTATAAAAATTAGAATTCAAGGGTAATTTGAGCCGCGCAATACGAATACCAACTTTGTTTCTACTTCAAAAAAGTATTGTCCTCCAAATCGCTACATCGGTTGGTCCCATTCAGCCATAACTAGAATGAGTACGGTATTACAACAAATTGTACCGACCGACGCACAATGGACCAGTCAGAGAAAATTATCGACATCGGCTAATTTTTTTTTTATAATATGAAAAGCTAGATAAAGTGTTTTATTGATTCTTTTTGGAGAGTGTGAACATTTTTCAGTTGACATATATACATTTTTAACACTTTTTGTTGAATACTTCAATTGAAAATATAGTAATTTTGTGGAATTTCACATAATTTATAGGCTTCTCAAAAAAGCCTTTATCTTATTTTAGTTATCTCTAAAATCATTGTCTTGAGTTTGGGCGGTGGCATTCGAAAACGTTCTCTTTCCACACTCAAACTAAAGATGGACAAATGCTACTCTGAGTAGTGAGTAGCAAGTATTTTACTCAAATATTGAACTTTTTTGAGTACCAAAGAATTTAATTACTACTTCATTTGATGATAAACGATTAATCGAAGTAGTGATTGAATTTCCAATATTGTTCAATTTGAGTTAAACACTTAGTACTTGGTATTCAAAGTAGCATTTGCCCAACACTGATTCAAACTAAAATTATTTCTAAATCTAAATATTTTTCTTAGATGAATGATTTGAGGAGTTTTTTGACAGGCACAATCATTATGATGACCTTTATCAGTTAAAAGCAGTCACTTAATACCACACAATATAACTAAATTTAATATTTCGATATTACAAGTGAACTGAAATTTGTTCTAGTAGTGCAAGAAAATATTAGTAAAATAAAATCATTTGTACTATTAACCATCTTTATGAAACAGCGTCACTTGTACTGTTAACTTGAATTTTGTAGTTTTGTACTGTTATCATGACACGAACACAAACTACTAGTAGGATAGTATTACTATTTACCAGTAAGCATAGTTGTTAATGACTGAAAGTTCGGATAGATTTTTCTTTCTTCTAAACTGCGATAGAGTTCATATACTTGTTCAATGGATTGAGGCTGTTTTTAAATTAACATTCTCAAAACTAATCTCTCTAAAAATAACCTAGCCACTTATTGACTTGTACTTTTTTTTCTTATCAATCCATAAAATAAAAAGTGTGCTTTGTAGTTTTTTACATTTGTAATTTTTATTAATGCTATTAGTTTCATTATGAAATAGGCCCCCTGGTGGTAGATTATTTTTTCATAGAACTTAATCAACTTTTTACGTCCATTCTGCTTAACTAAAAAATAGATAAGGATTTCTGCAGTTCGTTACACAGTTGTAGAAGGAGTTTAACTTTTTAGTCGATAACTGCAAATACCGCTTGTGACAAAGTGAAATGCTGTAATAAAGTTGTTTGCCCCCACTTGCCCCCCCGGCATTTGTTGTCTGCTCCTCTCATTCTTTGGCCACCTCCCTGACAGGTGCCGTGAGGTGGATAGCAGGTACGCTTGCATTCTTTCTCTTTTCCGTAACCAATGCATTGTAAAGATTTTTATTAATTGTGTTAAAAGTGAATAACTTAATTATATTAAATTGATATTTCCTAATTTCATTTGATGTTCAGAAATAAATGATAATTTATATTACTTACTTTTTAAGATATATATTCCAGGAGTTTTATGTAATGTATCTTATACCAATGTAGCTTAGGACACTTATTATAGGACTAAAAATCCTATTGATTAAATATGAAATTATCTTTGTACCGGACTTCGTTGAATTATTAATATGAATAATTAGACATACATCTTATTCAATAATCTAGGATGCTTTTAAATCCAAGATTATGATCATAAAGGGATTAATAAGTGGAAATAATAATAATAAAATGATTGTTGTATATTTTTGTGTGTGATTTAATTAACGTTCTGTACGTGGCTTACTAATCTGTTTCTGATTCTACGGTTTGATACAATATAATGAAATAAATAAGCAAAAAAAAAAAAAAATCGAAACATTAATGTTTTATAAAAATGCTGATTGAGAAAAAAAAGAATAGTTAAATATTTTAATTTTTAGAAATCTATACTGGACTACAGGCATAATCCTATCTATTTTAAAAATGTACCTCCACATATATTTAAAAGAGCGCATTCAATTCTCGGAAAAACCGGAATTGGTACTTTATGTAATCGATATAACACATTTTTACCATTTTCTCGAAAACGGCTCAAACGATTTTAATTAAACTCAGTAAATCAGCGTATTATTCAGCTGTTTTTAATATCAGCTAGGTCTTATCCCCATTAATGTTACTTTAAAGGGTTTAAATGACCAATATTCAAATACGTCTTAACCCTTTCTTATTAACAGTAACTATAAAAAATGGCTAAATATAAAGTATGATAGAATTTGATGATTGGGAACTGGAGAAAAAAGGGAAAATGAATCTCCGAAAATACTAGTCAGAACGTATACATATAATATATCGTTGGAAAGCGGAGAATTTTAGAAAAAAACTATACATAATATAGAAAATCGTAGAAGGTAATGGAGAGTGGCGAAAAAAATATAAATAATAAATTGTAAAAACTAGTATTATTTAACGGAAATCGCATGTTTCCAAGGAAATCAAATGAAATTTATTTACTAAATGTAAAATTTAAATTTTTTTTAAGTTTGAAAAAAACTATTTAAAATCTATCGAGTCAAGCTAATGACGTTTAAAAAAGTGTTTCATTATACTTGTGCTATAGTGGTTATAGTATAGTGTTTATAGTGAAATATAAAAATATTTCATGGATGTGTAAAAGATACGTTTATAATCTTAAATACATTTTCTGTAGTTCAATAACTCTAGATCCGATATTATATTTATACAATTAGGTATACATCGTCGCTTTATTAAAATAAAATTCCCTTTGTGAAATCACAACAGTATACACTTTCAATTAATTTGGCGACTTTTGACCTAGCGATGCTATATTTAAAATCAAGTATATTTTGGTATGTTTTCCATGGGTAAAAATAAGAACTTAAATACATGTAAAACGTAATAGAAAATTAGTAACTTTCAAATCTCTCTTATTCTACAGAGCTGAGGGTTATGTGATTCAAATAGGCTGATGAAGTTACATCTAAGGATTTTAGAGGCTACAATCGATGTTATAAATATGGTTTATGTTATTTTGACGGCCTTATTAGTTTTTGTATAGATACATATGGCCGAAATTAAAAAATATGTTGTTTAAAGTTTAGCTGCATTAAAAATTCGCTTTAAAAATTTCTTGTAATAGTCCAATTTTGCCAGACAAGGATTGCTTTTCGAAGTAGAGCAGTAAGTGAAAGTTGAGTAATCAGCGCATCACATTAGGCAGTGCTAATGGAAGTCGCAATAGTTCTTTATATTTTACGGTTGCTATTTTTATTTATCACTATATACACACACCTACCTATTAAAAAAAAATTATATTATTAATTATATTTTTTTATAAAAAATTAAATATTAATTAATTCTAGCGCGAGATTAATAAATTTCGAAGATAAACCACATGTTTGTAGGCCACATGTTCACTATATTTGTGGGCCACACATACAATCCGTTGGCCGCAACTACCTCACAAAGGCGAAGTGCGGCCTCCGAAGCAGCGGCTCCTATGCTCTATAGTATACGCATATTTTAAATTGGATCCTCCCCTTTTCATATGATATTCTTATAACCTTCTCCAGAAATAAGTTGAACACCCCGAACCTCTAATGTTTCAAAGGCTTCATATACTTCTCCATGTAGTAGAACTCGGCATTCTTTAACATAATCAATTTCCTCAGGACTCCCAGGATAGTTCCAAGTATACAATTTCTTTTAAGGGA